AAAGGGCTTGGATGGCTCCACTCCTACAGCACTGCTAGTGATTGACACTCCCATGGCTTCTCTCTTGGGCCAACTCTGTTCCCTCCTTGCAGTTTGTGATGTCCAAACTGTACCCAGGCCATTGCCTCAACATTAGACTGCTTTCAAATTTCTTTTGCAAGATTAACTAGTCCATCACCCTTAATTTTAGTCTCAGGCAAAGTCTTGGGGCACACACAAAATGCAGACAAACTTTCTGCCAAGGTATAACATACTCGTCTGCAGTCCAAAAGCCAATGCAGCCTTTCTTCTCAGCAGAACCCTCCCAAACCTGGTCTTTACTGGCAGCATTTCTATCAGCCTTCTGGTCTTCTGAGCTCTGACCAGAATCTCTCATCAAGTACCACCTAAGGTGCTCCAGCTCTACTTTTTCAGCTGGGATCTCAGAACCTTTCCAAACTCTTCCCACAAGCCATTCCCAAAAGTTCCTGAACCATATGGTCAGGAATGGTCACAGCACAACCTTACTTCTCTGGTACCAAATTATGTCTTAGTTACTTTTCTTGTTGCTGAGACAAAATACCCAATAAATAAAGTTAAAGGAGAAAAGGTTTACTTAGCTCATAGTTTACAGAGGTTTTAGTCTATAATTGGCTGGCTCCAAGGCAAGGAGGCATGGAAGACAGGCATTGCAGAGGAAAAATAGTTTACAGTGGGAAGAAGGTAGCAAAGCAACAAGGGACAACGAAAGCTCTTTCTATAGCTTATATCTTATTCAGGTTACTTAGGGCAGATAGCATTCACACCCTTAATCCTAGTGCCCTTGATTTTAGCATTGCACCCTGAATAACTTCCAACATCACACACTACATCCAGTGACCTCTGAAAAAGCCTCACTTATGACTGCATGAGGCTTTGGAGATACATCTAAACACAAATCAAAACATGGTGTCATGTGTATCAGGCTCACATGTCCTGACAGTCCCAAAGCAATTCTTTTATTTATTTTTTTTTTTGGTATCTGGAACTGAACTCAGGACCTTGTGCTTGCAGGGCAGGCACTTGTGCCACTGAGCTATATCCCCAGCCCTCAAAGCAATTCTCATTTCACATATCCTGACCCACTGTGCCCACCTACCCTTACCAGGCCATCCATATAGATGGTATTTTGGTCAAAAAATATTCCCACTATTCATACATGGCACAATCCCTGGTCATGCTCCTAATTAGCACTGGTCCCAGGGGAACAACTGAAGATTGATGCTGACTGGGCAAAGCAGGAGAAGAGGTTACAAGGAAGTAAAAGGACATGAGATGGTTAACACCCAGGACTGAAACTTCTACAAACTGTGAACTAAATAAACTTTTTCTCTTTAACTTAAGTGTCAGGTATTTTGTCTCAGCAATGAGAAAAGTAACTAAGACACACACCCTCTTCTATAAGTCACAGTTTTCTATTTTCTCCATATCGCTGCTTTAAAAAAAAAAAAGTCACAATGACATATAAATTCACTGAGCAAATATTTAATGAGTATAAGAGAGAAACCAAACCCAAAATGCATTTTGGGAACATAAATTATATTTGCAAACATTTCTATACATCACTCTGCTGAGGAGTGCCCATAGCGTTTCTTCCCCATCATGATGGCCAGTATGGTTATTCCTCTTTCCACAGAGGATGGCCCTGGGAGTCTTATGGCCATAGGTCAGTGAGTGGCTGAGATATAGTTCCAACCTGAGTCTGACTCAAAGTATCTATGAGAATGGAGACCTTGGTCCCTCTTCCCTTTGAAAGTTGGTAAGGGCCATAGTACTGACCACCTCTGTCTGAACTGCCATCACTGAGAGGGGCTTTAGGTTTGCAGGAAACAGGCCTCATTTAAGTTTGAAGAGTCTGAATATAGGTGGAACTCTTGTTTAAAATTTGTTCTCCTGGAATGAGGGTGTTTTGGAATGAATTACTGTACTCCTCTCACATTCATATGTTGAAGCCCATTGTGGTTGTATTTGGAGATGAGGCCTCTATAGAAGCAAATAAAGTTCAGTGAAGCGATAAAGGTGAGGCTCTAATCTGATAGGACTAGGGTTCTTATAAGAAGACACATCAGAGAACCCATTCTGTCTCTCCCTCCATGCACACATTCAGAAAGAGGGCAGGTGAGGACACAGGGAGAAGGCATCCTTGTATAAGCCAGAAGGGAACCCTCATCAGAAACAGAAATTGCAAGCGCTGTAATCTTGGACTTCCAGCCTTCAGAACTGAGAGAAAACAATTTTTAAGAAGCTGTGCAACTGTAAGTACTTCTGGGCTGATGCAGCAGAGTGGGTGCTGTGCCTGTGAAGGTGTGAGGAGCAGACTGAGAGCCGTCACTATGCAGGATGTGGGTGACATGCTACAGATGGTGCATAATTCATTTTGATAATCTATTAGAAGGGATAATGGCATTGGGTCAGAAATATTAGATGCTATCCCTTGGGAGTTTCTTGAGCCTTATTGAGAGGTGATTCCTGGAGGCGCCCGTATACCTAGGAGAAAACAGGGCTACTACAAAGCTATTTTAAAAACTCAGATTAGTACTTTGCCCTGGAAATTTATTTCCTTGGCTAGAATCAAGAGTTGTGAGAGTGCATGTAGGATGCTTTTCGGAGGACCGGATGGCTGGTGGATGGCTTCTCCAGGACCCTCTGGAAATGCTATCAGAAGTCCTTTGAGAGCTGGGAAGATTTGGGCTCCACCCAACCCACGTTCCTACCGTCATCGCTCTCCCAACAGCAGACGCTGCACTGACATATCTACCTCACCCTTGTTTCCTTAGAGGTCCTCCAGTAACTTCCATATGTCCCAGTGACATCACTTCATGCAGTAGATTTAAGGCAATCTTGGAATTAGCCCATGGTGAATTCCAACTTCCGTTAACCTATTGTTGTGGAGAGGCTCGAAGTAAAGCTTCTTGTCCCTTGGGGAAGAGGTGGTGTCTGCTCTCAGAGGGGCAGGACAGCATGCTTCTGTGCTTGTCCTGAAACCCATGTGCTTGAGGGGATCAGTCTTAATCCACATTCCGGGCCTGTCATGGCCTGTGCAGCCTCTGGCGACTTCACTAAGTTCATGCCCTGGGCACATTGTGGGGTACATACAGCAGGTGTTCACCAGTTGCAGACTTGGTGATATTTTGGTGCTGGTAACAACCCATACACAAACAGAGTCAAATGCACACACTCCTCTTTTCTGATGTTTTTCCTGTCAGGCAGTTAGCATCTCTGGCTCCTTCTACTTTTATGTGGATTGGAGTTCAGGCGGTTGGAACTCACATAGCAGCCAGGCTTACAAGAGGGCAGATAAAGCTAGGCAGGATGGTGTAAGACTCTAGTCCCAGCTGAGGCAGGAGGATCACTTGAGCCCAGGAGCCTGAGACCAC